TGCTGAGGCAAGAGACCCAACAAGGAAGCTATGGAGGGCGCTGAGAGTTCCTCCACGCGGAGGTAGTGGCAGTGGAGCTGCAGTGGACCTGGTTGACTAAGGGCATCACGGACACGCTCCCAGGAACGGGAATTGACAAAAAGGTCAGCCCTGACATGGACCACAACTACCTCGTCCCAGTCTTGGTCGCATAACCTACTGCTATTACTGCTGGTGTTTGATTTCCCCTCAGATATAGTCTTTCTTCTCTGGATCTCCATCCTCCTCCTGACACCCTTTACTGACTCATCTTCTGGTAACATCCGTTCATTAGTTTTGCACTCCATCTTCTCTACTTCTTCCACTCCGTGTCCTCCCTGACTCCCTTCACCACTATTCCCGCACCCTACCTTGCCCCGGTCTCGTTTGATGGTGCCCCGGTCGCGTTCTGCTTCCAGTCCTCTTTTTCTCTCTCTTTCTCCATCTCTCCTGTGAGCCCTGGAGGCAGCAGCTCGAGCTTGTAGCACCATTGAGCACAGGGCAACACTGAGGGACCATCCACCCATCGAGTCCTCAACTCTCCCATTTTCACATTGAAGTCCACTGAGATCCAGCATCTGCAGGCAACACCTGGTAAGAGAGGGACATAGAGAGCTTGTAAGTAATGCTTAAATAGATATGAAAGACTCGATATGAACCAAAACAAAAAGACAGAATGATACAGAAAAAACAAAATGACTGAAATATATTGTATACACTCAAATTCAAATTTTGTGCAGAATCTTTTATTCTTTATAATGTTCAATAAACGCTGCCTGCACATGCTTAGAAGCTTCTGTCACCTCTCTACTGTAACCTTGGCCCATTCCTTGCTTGAAAAAGCTGCCAGATCACTGATAGTCTTTGGTTTTCACGTAGCTACTGCTTTCTTCAAATTCTACCATATATTTTCAATGAGATTTAAATCTGAAGACTAAACTGAAGAACATTCTACGACTTATCCCTGAACCACGCTTAAGTAGATTTGGATGTATATTTTGGGACGGTTGTCCTGCAGGAAAGTCTATTGATCATCAAGATTGAGTCTTTGCACCAAAGGCATTACAATCTTTCCCAAAATGGCCTGGTACTTCAAGGAATCCCTGATGTCCTTCATAAAGTGAAGATTTTCACTTCCTATAACATGAAGATGGTGTTCTTCTGCTCATAAGCGTTGCCTTTTTGGCACCAGACATACTGCTGATCCATGAGTCCAAAAGTTCCCGTTTGGTCACATCACTCCATAAAACACTCTTCCAGAACTCCTCGGGTCTATCCAAATGAATTTTAGCACATTCAAGTCAGTATTTTATGTTCTTCTTGGTCAAGAGTGGCATTAGGCAAGCTGTCCAAACATGAAGGCCATGCTTGTCTAGTGTTCTTATACTCTGCATTGAAATGCTTTTTTCCCCTCCTTTCATCAGGCCATCTTGCAAGTCTTTGGCAGTATATTAGTGACTTAAAACGTTGGATAGGGGTTGAATAATTATGACAAAGCTGTATCCCATAACTCAAACACATCAAAAAAAAAAATTTTTTAATTAGCCACTAAACTGTTATAAATGCTATATTTATCCATGCTGTTCTGCATCTTTAAATGTCAGAGATATGTCACATGCTGTGATGATGAATTTCATTTCTATGAATAACATGGCACTGTACTGGGCATGTCTCTTTTATGGCACACTTTGTCATGAAATTGAAAAGGGACATGTAGAGAGAACACATCCGTACCTTTTGTCCGTCAGTCCCCTGACCACAGCCAGCAGCAGAGCCTGAACGCAGAGGCGGTTCGGAGGGCACTCGCCCGCTTTTCTGCTGCCTCCAACGGTCAGTGTTCTCTCGGGCCACCGCTGGACGAGCTCACCGACAGCTAGAGGACGGCAGTGGGTGAAGGCGGCGTCCAGCAACGCTCGGTAGAGCTCCCTCGGCACACAACTTAACCAATACGGCGAAGAGCTGTGGTCGCTCACCACCTCCCGGGCGCACAGGTTCACCAAAGACAGGACCATCTGTGCACAAATGAGGACGGCATCAGGGATTAATACTGCAAATCAAAAGGCAGATTACAGCATGTTGATTAATTAACAAGTAAAGAAAAGAATCGTCAAACCTTTATTTCTCCAGAATGCCCCGGAAATCACCTCGATGTTTTCAAAGCAGGCACAAAATGATCTCCCCCTAATCACACCGTAATCCTGCATACTAACTACATCTTATATTCAATTAGACTCGTTTAACAGGCGTCTTAAATGTCTACCACACCTAAATATAGGATTTAATAAATGCTCAACCTTTAGCGGGTTGTAGACGATTAATGCCTGCTTTATGGCTTGAGAACAATACGCGGGACGTGAGGAATGGACTTGTAAAATATAACTCTGTGCGATCAGTATGAATCTTAAAAAAAAAAAAAAAAAAAGGTTAAAATGTGTGGAGTGTTTTTCCATGCCGTTCCGACTCCATTCCCGATGTTTATTTACGGCCGAACATAGTCGCATTTTGATGACGCAAAAAGACGCATTTACTTGGCGACGACGCCTAGGCAAATAATAGCGGATAAAAAGACCCCTGAGCAACGAGAAGCATCATAGATAACGAAGATTTGCAACTTCTAACACGAAAGAATTGGTTTTGCATTTTCATAATATATACATTTTATCGCAAAAAGCTTTTAGGGTAAACAAATAGATTGTTACTGCATTGTTAGTGGTTCATAACCTGTAGTCTCCGCAAACGTTATTAGACGGTCAACCAAACCTCCCTGTAGCAGGGCGCTTTTTTTCAGGGCGCCTGTAGCTTTTTCTGTGAAGACTGATTGTTACACTATACTTTTGTCCTCTTTTGATTTTTGTTTTCAAATTTTGCATGAGCATTATTGTACCGAGTTATAATGAACCAGTCTTGTGTTTTTGTGCACAGGATTAAACACAAAGCCAGGTATTAAGGTAGAACAGGTATTACAAAATTAAGAGTCACAAATGAAGAGATAAAAGTGAATAGATAAGCCCAAACTGGTGATTAAACCTGCATTTTTATTGTCCCAGATGCTCAATCATTTGAATGCTATCTGCATATCTGGCAACAAGCAACAGATTCCATTCACATTTTTCTTTCCGTGTCAGGACTGTTGTTTATAAAATTCACATCGTTAAGAAAAATTGACAGATTCAGGTACACCAGCCTTAAAAGCTACAACAAATATTTGGTTTGCATGTTTACCGTTCAGCTATGCCAAAACAACTGTTGGTTGGTACATAAAGTTGAAGAAATTGCAGCAATAAAAGTGAAATCTGCACATTTAATAATAATAATAATAAAAATCAGTGCCGTGTATACTAAAACAGATGAATTTCAAATAATTAAATTTCCCCAAAAAAGAAGTCTAAAAAGTCGAGCTCATTTATTAGAGCATAATGCTATCAATTCCAAGATCATCGTTTCAAATCCCAGGAAACATGCAGAGGGGGAAAAAAGTACCTGTAAAACTCACGCGCACACACTTTCATATAATCATCCTACAGACCATGTTAAATGACAAAAATCACATACACAAGCTTCAAACCTTGCACAGATTTAAAAGGCAAATTATGAAAACATTAGGAGAACCAATAAAACAGAGGGGCATAAATCCAGAAGGCATGCAGTCTTTGTATTCCAAAGAGTGTTCAAAATCTCCACCGTCAAAATGTTGGTGTCTGAATGTGACTTTCATTCACTCCTAGGATGAGCTGGTTTCCAGTGGCTTTTATTTGTCTCAGCCAATGCCTAAATGAGTCCATGTCAGACCTTGTCCAAGCAGCTCTCTTGGAATTCTTCTCGGCCACAGTCTGAGATCTTCTTTAGAGGCAAATGGGAGTCGTAAAATTAACCCTCCTCAGTCCACAGTGAACCAAAGTAAAAACAAACACACATTTACAAAATCCCCAGAAAATAAAGTTTTGACAGTCCCCCCCCCCCCCCCCCCCCCCC